AACGTGCGCATCGACCCCAGCAGCCTGACCTTCAACGTGTGGAAGGACCTGCCGGTGCCCTTCTACCTCTCCGTCTACCTGTTCGACGTGCTCAACCCCCGGGAGGTGCTGGCCGGCCGCTCGCCGCAGGTGCGGGAGCGCGGGCCCTACGTGTACAGGTGAGCGGGGCGGGCGGGGCGGGGCGGGGGCAGGGCGGGGCGGGGCGGGCGGGGCGGGGGCAGGGCGGCGGCCCTGGCTCTGGGACCCCGCGGGCAGGGGGCGCCAGCTGGGATCTGGTCACCAGGGGCGACGCTCAGCAGCTGTGCCCCAGGTTTGGGAATCAGAAACTCCAGTCAGAGTCCGGGCCAGCATTCACTCATTCATTCATTCATTCCCTCACTCATTCATCCACTCAACCACTCACTCATCCACTCATCCAATCATTCACTCACTCCCTCATCCAATCATCCACTCATTCGCTCACTCCCTCATTTATTCACTCCCTCATTCATTCACTCATTCAATCATCCAATCATTCACCCACTCCCTCATCCAATCACTCACTCATCCATTCAGTCACTCATTCATTTATTCATCCACTCATTCACTCTCTCATCCAATCACTCACTCACTTATTCATTCACTCATCCACTCATTCACTCATTCACTCATTCATTCACTCATTATTCACTCAGATACTCCTCCACTAATTTATTCATTCTCTCATTGATTCACTCGCTCATTCACTCCCTCCCTCATCCAATCATTCGCTCATTTATTCACTCATTCTTCACTCAGTTACTCCTTCACTCATTTATTCATTCATTCACTCTTCCACTAATTTATTCATTCATTGTTTCACTCGCTCATTCACTCACTCACTCATTCATTATCCACTCATTTATTCACTCTGCAATCATTCATCACTCATTCATCCACCATTTACTCATTGATTCGTTCGCTCATTGGGTCACTCACTCATTCATTCACTCATTTACTCATTCGCTTACCCATTTACTCATTGATCGTTCACTCATTGATTCACTCATCCACTCATCTACTCATTTATTGATCCGTTCACTCATTCTTCCGACAAACGTCTGTTGGGCACCGAGTGGATTTCTGTGGCTGTTCTAGGCACAGGGAACCCCAAAATGGACAGAAAGCGCTGAGAGGGAAGGGGGTCCCCGGGTCAGTGGGGGGAGGGTCCCCGGGTCAGAGGGGGGAGGGGTCCCCGGGTAAGTGCCGGGGGGAGGGGGTCCCCGGGTCAGTGTGGGGGAGGGGTCCCCGGGTCAGTGGGGGGGAGGGTCCCGGGTCTCGCGTGGGAGGGGGGGGGAGGAGGCGGACCTGGGGCGGCCAGGCTGGGCGCGGGCCGGCGGGCTGGAGGCCCCGGTGGAGCCTGCGGACCGCCCCGCAGGGAGTTCCGGCACAAGAGCAACATCACCTTCAACGACAACGACACCGTGTCCTTCCGGGAGTACCGCCGCTTCCAGTTCCAGCCGCACATGTCCCGCGGCTCCGAGGGCGACTACGTCAGCATGCCCAACATCCTGATGCTGGTGCGCCCGGCCCGGCCCGCTAACCCCGCCCCCGCCCCAGGGCCCGCCCCGCTAACCCCGCCCCCGCCCCCGGGCCCGCCCCGCCCCGCCCCGCCCCGCCCCGCTAACCCCGCCCCGGGACCCGCCCCGCCCCCAGGGCCCGCCCCCGCCGCGCCGCCCCCCCCCGCTAAACCCCGCCCCCAGGTCCCGCCCCGCCCCGCCAAACCCCGCCCCAGGGCCCGCGCCGCCCCCCCGCTAAACCCCGCCCCCAGGTCCCGCCCCGCCCCGCCAAACCCCGCCCCAGGGCCCGCGCCGCCCCCCCCGCTAAACCCCGCCCCCGCTAAACCCCGCCCCTGCTAAAACCCGCCCCCAGGGTTTGCCCTGTCCCGGCCCCACCCCGCCCACCACGGCCCTACGCCCCATCCCTATTAAGGCCCCCCACGCCCCCATACCACGCCCAGGCCCCACCCCTATTAAGCCCCGCCCGCCTGAGCGCCGCCCGTGCCCGCAGAGCTCGGCCATGATGGCGGAGAAGAAGTCGATGGCGCTGAAGTTTCTGATGACCATGGGCTTCTCCAGCCTGGGCCAGCAGGCCTTCATGAACCGCACGGTGGGCGAGATCATTTGGGGCTACAGCGACCCCCTCATCAAGCTCATCAACCACTTCCTGCCGGGCATGCTGCCGCTCAAGGACAAGTTCGGGCTGTTCGCGGAGGTGCGTGCCCCAGGGCGGCCCGCCCCCGCCCCACCCAGGCCGCTTCGGTGCGATGGTGGCTGTTTCAGAGTGAAGAGCTCTCCTCCCGCCGCCTGCTGCGCCCTGGGGCCGCGGGGCACCGGCACACACCCAGCTCCTCAGGGCCCTGCGAACCCAAGCGGGGTTCAGGCACGGCCTGCCCCAGGCTCACTGATGTGATGGTGGATGGATGGCAGCAGGCAGGTCTGATCCGAGCTGCCTGGTGCTGCTTTTTTTTTTTTTTTTTTTTTTTCCAAATATGATTTTATGGGTGTCAGAGAGCGGTGGCAACATCGATCCTGCACGCTCCCTACTGGGGATCGAGCCTGCCGCCCAGACACGGGCCCTGACCCGGGTCAGACTGGCGCCCTCTCGGTGCCGGTCCGCGCTCCCCTCGATCCCGGGCGCTGGGCCAGCCCGGGCCTCCGCTCCCGCGGCCTGAAGCTGCTGCTCTCTGCTGTGCCCGCAGTTCAACAACTCCGACTCCGGGCTCTTCACCGTGTTCACCGGCGTCAAAGACTTCAGCCGCGTGCACCTCGTGGACAAGTGGAACGGGATCAGCAAGGTGAGAGCCCGCCGCAGCGGGCCCCGCCCCGCCCCACAGCCCCGCCCCCACATCCCGGCCCCGCCCCACAGCCCGGCCCGCCCCACAGCCCGGCCCCGCCCACACGCCCAGCACCCCCGCCCCGCCCCACAGCCCGGCCCCACCGCCCAGCCACGCCCCACAGCCCCGCCCCCACAGCCCGGCCTCTCCCTCACAGCCCCGCCCCACAGCCCGGCCCCGCCCTCACAGCCCCGCCCCACAGCCCGGCCACACCCTCGCAGCCCCGCCCTACCCCACGGCACCTCCCCACGGCCCGGCCCCGCCCCACGGCCCCGCCCCACCACCCGGCCACGCCCCTCAGCCCCGCCCACCGCCAAGCCCCGCCCAACAGTCTCGCCCCACAGCCCGGCCCCGCCCCACAGCCCGGCCCCGCCCCACAGCCCTGCCCACACAGCCCGGCCCCACCCACACCATCCCGCCCCACCCACACGCCCAGCTCCGCCCGCCCCGCCCTCACTGCCCCGCCGACACCACCTGCCCCCACCCACACCACACGGCCCCGCCCAGCCACGCCCACACCAGCCAGCCATGCCCACACTCCCCACCCACACCCACACCGCAAGCCCCGCCCACACCGCCCGGCCCCGGCCTACAGCTCAGCCCCGCCCCACCCTCACAGCCCCGCCCACACCGCCCGGCCCCGGCCTACAGCCCCGCCCTCACCGCCCCGCAGCGTCCTCTCCTGCACCAGCTAGAAGTGCGTCCGGCCCCTCACTCACCCAGCCCGGCGCCAGAGCCTGGAAGCCGGGTCATGAGCCCCGGCCGGCCCGGCCTTCCCGCCGCCCCGTGCGGCTCACCTCCCGCTTGGGCTCCCCCAGGTCAACTACTGGCACTCGGACCAGTGTAACATGATCAACGGCACGTCCGGGCAGATGTGGGCGCCGTTCATGACTCCCGAGACCGGCGTGGAGTTCTTCAGCCCCGAGGCCTGCCGGTGAGCGCCGCGGGCCCTGGCGGAGCGGGCCTCCTGGCCGAGCCCGCAGCCTCTGTGGCCCGGAGAGTGTGGGCTCCCCGGTTCGCCAGCCCCGCGTCCCACACGGCTCGTTGGTTGCACCTGGAGGAGCCAGGCTCCGGCTGCAGCAGCTGGTGCTGAGACAGGGCGGGAGCTGGTGCAGGGATGGGGGGAGCTGGTGCAGGGACAGGGAGGGGAGCTGGTGCAGGGACAGGGAGGGGAGCTGGTGCAGGGACAGGGCGGGGAGCTGCAGGGACAGGGCGGGGAGCTGGTGCAGGGACAGGGAAGGGGAGCTGGTGCAGGGACAGGGAGGGGGCGAGGACTGGGGACAGGGCAGGGACGGGGGGGAAGGGGGGGTCCGGTCTCTGGCCCTCAGAGTGGTGTCCTGGCGGGGACCCAGGCCCGTGTGCCCCGGGGGGTCAGAGCGGGAGGGGATGGTGCTGTGCATATCCACTTTTTATTTTATTTTTAAAATACTTTTTAACTGATGTCCGAGAGGAGGGAGCGGGAGGCAGAAGCAGCGACGGCGAGTCACGGGCCAGCCGCTGCTGCTGGGGCAGGGCCGCGCCCTGCTCACCCGCCCGTCTGCCCAGGTCCATGAAGCTCATCTACCAGGAGGCCGGAGTGTATGAGGGCATCCCCACCTTCCGCTTCAAGGCCCCCGACACCTTGTTTGCCAACGGGTCCGTCTACCCACCCAACGAGGGCTTCTGCCCCTGCCTCAGGAACGGCATCCAGAACGTCAGCACCTGCAAGTTCAGTGCGTGTCCTCGCCCTGACCCTGGCCCCTGGCCCCAGGCCGAGGGGGGGGCGGTCACCCTGACCCCTGGCCCCAGGCCGAGGGGGGATGGTCACTGGGCCCTGTGACCTCAGGCTCTCGCTGAGCCGGTCGGCCGCAGAAAGGCCATCTGAAGGAAGGAAACCCTTAGTAATAAAGTCCCATGAGCTCTGAGACCTGGGACTCGAACCCTGACCATAGACAGCTCTGTGGCTCCGAGTCCCGGGCCAGGTCTCCGAGCTGCCCTGCGGCCGCGACCTTGACCTTCGTGGAGTCCAGGGCCCAGGGCGCAGGGTCATCCGGGCGGCGTGCCCACCGCAGGGGGCTCCTGGGGCCGTGGCCCGGGCTCAGGGGCTCCACACCGCGCCCTGGGGCGCCCTGCCCTCGCCCCGGGGGAAAGAGGCCCGGATTGTTCCGGAACACCTCGGCCGGCCCTGCCTCGCCCTTCGCTCCGTGCAGTGGATCAAGGCGGCTCTCCGCTTTCCCTCTCTGCCGGGCCTCTGCCCTCTCCCCGAGGCCCATCCCTGTGGCTGCCCCCCTCTTCCTGGCTGCAGAGTGCTCCCGGCCCGCCCCTCTGCTCCTCGCCTGTCCCGCTCTGGGCGCTGGGTCCCGGGTTCGAAGGTGTGATCTCGGGACGGCGGGTGCCTGCACTCCGCCTCCTGTGGGTTCACCTGGGGATAAGACGGCCGCAGCCTCCCTTCCCTGAGCCCCCCCCAGCTGATCGCAGCCCTGGTGATCAGATATGGGGCCATAAAGCCGCCCTAAAGCTGTAAATCAATTAGCACTCGCACCGGGCGGGTTCTCGAGGCTGTTTGGTGCTGGCCAAGCAGCCCGGCAGGTGCGGGGCCAGGTGCGGGACGGAAGCCGGGCAGGTGCGGGGGCAGGTGCAGGGGCAGGGGCAGGTGCAGAGGCAGGTGCAGGGGCAGGTGCAGGGGGCAGGTGCTGGGGCAGGTGTGGGGGCGGGAGCTGGGCAGGTGTGGGGGCAGGTGATGGCAACCTGGCGCCACCCACTGCGCTCCCCGGGCCCTGGAGGCGTGGCCACCTCCAGGTGGGGGCCGGCGGGGGCCGCCTTTCTCCCCAGAGCCCGGTGGAGCCCCTGTGGAAGGGGGCCCGGCGTTTGCTGACCCCCCCCACCCTGTGCAGATGGGAAGGTGGGGACCGCACGGAGGACCAGGGGCCCACGGGGAGGAGGGAGTGTCTCGGTGCTCTGTCTGTCTGTCTGTCTGTCTGACCACCTCCAGGGGAAGCGTCTGCTGGTGCCCAGGGCTCGAGCGGCTTCCCAACGCGCATCTGTCTTTTCTGACTCCCCAGGGAGCGGTTCCTGGCTTTGGAGAGAGGGAGGGAGGGAGAGGCGGAGAGAGACGTCGCTGCCTCCCGCCCGCTCCAACGGGGCCGGGCCTGGGGCCTGCCACCCAGCACACTGGGGCCCGCACTCTAACCAGGGAGCGCCGGCCAGGCCTCCGCGCAGGCCCCGCGCTGTCCTGGCCGGGGGCCCGGCTGCCTCGGCCTCCCCCCGGGTGGCCCTTCCGCCCAGGAGCCCGGCCGGCCCTCCCGGACCAGACCGGCTGCCGGCGGGAGCACAGGTGTGTCCCGCCTCCGCGCCCGGACACTGGCTGCGGTGCACGGACCCGGACCCTGCTGCCTGGCTGGGCGACGCGCCCCTCACCCCGGGTCAGACCCGGCTCCCTTCCCCACGCAGCCGCAGCCCCTCTGCTCCCTCACACCGCCTGCGCCCGAGCCTCCCACCCGCTCGCCCCACACCCCTCCGCCCTCCGCCTGGCGCCTCCTCCTCCTCCCTCAGAAGGTCCCCGCGCCCCCCTTCCCCGGGCACAGAGCGCGCCCCCTGCTGGCTTCCAGCCCGAATGGCGGGACCCTCTGTCTAGTCATTGTCGATCGCTTTCTGTCATCGTCACAGCACGCCGTCCGGCTCCGGGCCTGCACGAAGCCTCGGGACGTGCCAGCGCCCTCTGCCCTCTGCCCTCTGCCCTCTGCCTCTGCCTGTCCGATGCCCCCCCTGCCTCTGCCTGTCTGACGCGCCCTCTGCCTGTCCGATGCCCCCCTGCCTCTGCCTGTCCGATGCCCCCTCTGCCCTCTGCCTGTCCGATGCCCCCCTGCCTCTGCCTGTCCGATGCCCTCTCTGCCTCTGCCTGTCCGATGCCCCCCCTGCCTCTGCCTGTCTGACGCCCCCTCTGCCTGTCCGATGCCCCCCTGCCTCTGCCTGTCTGACGCCCCCCTGCCCCTCCTTCCAGACGCCCCCCTGTTCATCTCGCACCCGCACTTCTACAACGCAGACCCCTCCCTGGCCGAGGCCGTGCGGGGCCTGCACCCCAGCGAGAAGGAGCACTCGCTGTTCCTGGACGTGCACCCGGTGAGCCTGCGGCAGCCTGGGGCCCCGGGGGGCTTCTGCTGGGTCCCGTCTGCCCCTCCCCCCGCACCAGGCTGGGGTGGGGTGGGGGAGGACAGCTCCTGGGACATCAAACCGCCAAGGTCCCTCCTTTGCTCAGACTCCATAGTTCAGGACGTGCTATCTGGGCGGCGGGCGGGGTGTCTGCAGAAGGGCCATAAGACAGTAAATTAATTAGGATTATCAGCTGCCGATTACCGAGGCCGGCCCTGGGGAATTCCAGCGAGAGCGAGGTCCCTGGTCTCACTTCTGTGGGTGGGTCTCCCCCGCCCCCACCCTGAGCACCTAGCAGGTCCATGGCGGGGCAGAGGCTCCCAGCTGCGTGGCAGTGCCAGGGCCGGCCTCCAGGGCAGCGTGGAGGCCGAGGGGAGGCTGGAAGAGGCCTCTGGCTGTCCCCGCTGCCTGGCCCCCCGGGGAGCAGGGTGGGGGGCTGCCGGCTCGGCATCAGCCAGCCAGGCCCTCACCGCGTACCCCTGCAGGTCACGGGGATCCCCATGAACTGCTCGGTGAAGCTGCAGGTCAGCCTGTACATGAAGGCCGTCCAGGGCATCGGGTGAGTGGCCGTCAGAGGCACGGGCCTGTGGGGGTTAGGGGGCACCCCTGGCTGTGGCCGTCGTTCCCCAAAGGGATCCTAGCTCTGCCCGCGGCCCCGCCGCCCCGGCAGCCGCCCCCTCCCGCGTCCGCCCCCAGACAGGAGTGTCCGCTGAGCCCTGCCTGGCACCCAGCGAGGGCCAGGAAGGAACCCGGGCAAAACCGAGGGATCACAAGGCAACCGTCACACAGCGCCCTCACGTGGCCCTCGGAGGAGGCTGTTTTAAAGCACCGAGTCTGTTTTTATTTCCTAAAATACGTTTTGATTGATTTCAGAGAGGGAGAGGGAAGGAGAAACATCCGTGATGAGAGAGTCGTGGGTCAGCTGCCTCCTGCACGCCTGACCCGGCCTGCACCCGCCTGACGGGGGATCGAACTCTGACCTCCTGGTTCCTAGGTCGACGCTCACCCCTGAGGCACGCGGCCGGGCTGTTTTCCTTACTATTTTTTTTTTTTTTAATAACAGCTTCATCAAGATTTGATTCTCACACTATCAGTCCCCACCCTGTGAGACAGAAGCAGTGCCATTCAGTGCCTGTGGCATGTTCACCCCGACTGTAGGCCGTTCCCGTGAACCCCAAAGAGCAGCCCCACACCGTCCCCCCAGCCCCCGGCAGCCCCATCTGCTTCCTGTCTGACGCCCCTGTCCACGGTCACTGCCCCGCAGCCCGAGTGGCCCTCTCGCCGGCACCGTGCCCTCCGGCCCGGCCCGCCGCCCAGGGCCCGGCTCCCTCCTGCTCGTGGCTGCGCCGTGGGCCCCTGTGTGGCCGGCCACGTCTCGGTCATTCGCTGACTGGCACCCGGCTGTTTCTGGTCAGGGCCCTTGTGACTCAGGGGCTGTGGCCGTGGGCGGACCGATGGCGTGGGGGACATGGTCCCATGGGCCCCGGGCCTCGGCGGACACGGTGGCCGTGGCGGACCGATGGCGTGGGGGACACGGAACCGTGGGCCCCAGGTCTCGGACGGACACGGTGGCTGTGGGGGACCGATGGCGTGGGGGACAGGCTCCCGTGGGCCCCGGGCCTCGACGGACACGGTGGCCGTGGGGGACCGATGGCGTGGGGGACACGGTCCCGTGGGCCCTGGGCCTCGGCGGACACCTGGGAGTGAACTGCTGAGTCGGGGCCTCTCCAGCGTTTGGGGAACTGCAGGCGGTTCCCACGGCCTCTGCTCTCACACCAGCTGGCAGGAGGTTCCGGCTCCCGGCCTCGCCGGCTCTGGCTGTGACCGGACGGTGTGACCGGGCCCAGTCCCCATCCAGGGGTGTATTGTTGTGGATTTCGGAGAGGAAGGAAGGAGAGAGATCGAGAAAATCAGTGACGAGAGCACATCATTGGTCGGCGGCCCCCTATAGGCCCCGCACTGGGGATCCTGCAACCCGGCCTGTGTCCTGATGGGGACCGAACCGTGACCTCCTGGCTCCTGGGCCAGCGCTCACCCCCTGAGCCGCCTGGCCCGGGATCGAACCCGCAACCTTGTGAGAGCCCGGCCTGGGCTATTTTTTCCATTGATTTTTAGAGAGCATGGAGGGAGGGAGGGGGAAGAGGAGAGAGAGGCACCATGTGAGAGAGGCATCCAGTGGCCGCCTCCCCTGCACCGGACCGGGGAGGCGGGAACTGACCTGCGACCCGCCAGGTGTGTGCCCGTGAGCGGGGATGGAACCCGGGACCCTGAGGGCCTCACCGCGCTTGCCGCTGGCCCAAATGGAGGCTGCTCTCCTGGGCCTCCTGGGCTCCTGTGTCCCTGTGAACGGGAGGGGGCCCGCACAGGCCCGCTTTCTCAGGGCCTTAGCGCCCCCTGGAGGGCGGAGGGGGACGGCGCGGGACTCCGGGGACGCCTGTCCCTGAGGTCCGCTCTGTGTGTCCTCGGGGGGCCGCCTGTGGGTGACGCCATGAGCTCGCCGCCTCGCGGGGGCCGGGCCGGGCCCTTTGTGCCGAGTCTGGTCCCGCTCGGGCGCCCCCTGGTGGCGGAGTCAGAAAGTCTGAAAGGACGACACTGGCCCAAGCGGAGCACTTTCCCAAAAGGCGGGCTGTTTTCTTCCTTAAAACATTTCCATTGACATCAGAGGGAGGAAGGGAGACAGACAGACAGACAGACTGGCTGCCTCCTGCACGCCCCCCACTGGGAACCGAGCCTGTGCCCGGACCGGGAATCGAACCCTGGCCTCCTTCCCGGGCGATGCTCACCCCCTGAGCCCGCCCGTGGGGAGCTGTGAGGTGTTTTTGTTTGTTTGTTTGTTGTTTTCCCTTTAAAGTCACCATTGATGGATATTATTTGAGTTTTTAATGGAGAAAGATCCCTGGTTGCCGGCGGCTCCCTGCGGGGAATAGGAGATGCCCCCTCCGCCCCCCCTCCAGCCCACCGGGAGCCGGCGCTCAGAGCCTCCTGCCCCCCGTGTCCCACGTGTGTCCCCCGAGCCTGAACCCCAGGAGAGCCCGAGAGAGACGTCTCACCGGCTCTGTCCCCGCTTCCAGGCAGACCAGGCAGATCGCGCCCGTGGTGCTGCCGCTGGTGTGGTTCGAGGAGGTAAGGATCCGGCTCCTCGCCCGGTGCCTCCGAGGGGGCCGGCGGGCACTGGAGGCCAGAGGGCGTGGGGGCCAGGGGGCCACTGTGGGGCCTAGAGCGACCCAGGGAAACCTCACGGCTACGGACAGGAATTTCCCCGGGACCGGAGGCCCAGCCAGGGCCCTGAGGCCCAGCCCGAGGCCCTGAGGCCCAGCCCGGGGCCCTGAGGCCCAGCCCGGGGCCGGGAGGCCCAGCCGGGGGCCATGGGACCCAGCCCAGCTTGGAGCCGCTCTCTGAAGGTGCCGGGGGCCTTCTGTCCTCCGGCAGAGCTGGTTTCAGGGCGTTGCTGGGGGGGGGGAGGGAGACGTCTTTCCTCTGGCTTCCCAGGGAAAGGGAGCAACGCTGAGCAGTTCCATTCATTGGTTGGTTCTTTATGTGGCTCCTGACCAGGGATCGAACCCGCAACCTCGGCGTATCGGGAGACACTCACAAACTGAACTGTCCCAGCCAGGGCCTGGCCAGTTCATTTTAATCCTCATCCGAGAATGTTTTCCCATTGATTTTATTTTCATTTTATTTTTGAGAGAGTGGGAGGGAGGGAGGGAGGGGGAGAGAGAAACATGGATGCGAGAGAGACACGGCGCCTTCTGCACATGCCCCGACCAGGGCCGGGATCACACCTGCACCCCTGGTGCACACCCTTGACCAGGAATCGAACCCTCTAACCACGGAGCCACACGACCGGGGCCTGGCCTTGCTCATTTTAAACCAGGGCCATCTCATGCCCAGCTGGGGTGCTCAGTGGTTGAGTATCAACCCATGAACCAGGCGGTCAGGGTTCGATTCCCGGCCAGGGCACAGGCCCGGGTTGTGGGCTCCATCCCCAGTGGGGGGTGTGCAGGAGGCAGCCGGTCCGTGATCCTCTCTCCTGTGGGTGTCGCTCTCTCTCCCTCTCCCTTCCCCTCTGACATCGATGCTAAAAGGATATTTTTTAAAAATCTAGAGGGAACTCAGGGCCAGAACCGGCCGCCTCAGAATGTCAAGGTCGCGGCCCCGCCGGACCTGGGCCGGAGGGAGGCAGAGCTCGGCGCCACGCAGCCATTGGGGCCGCAGGCTCCTCTGTCCCGTGGGCCCCCCTCCTGAGACCCTCAGAATCCGCCCGAGTTCGGGGGGTGCGGACAGTGATGGGGAGAACCCGGGCAGGTTTCACCACCAGGTGTGGCGGTGTATCACTGTGCCCTCGCCCCATTGGCCAGAATGAGGTCACATGACCCGGCCAACTGCAAGGGAGTCTGGGAAATGTAGTCTCCCTGTGGCCCTGGAGGAAATGGAGGCCCCTGCAGGCTTGTGATGGGGAAGGGATCTGGGGGGCAGGGGTGGGGCCTGGGGGCAGGGGTGGGGTCTGGGGGCAGGGATGGGATCGGGGGCAGGGACGGGGTCTGGGGGCAGGGACGGGGCCTGGGGGCAGGGATGGGGTCTGGGGGCAGGGATGGGGTCTGGGATTAGGGATGGGGTCTGGGATGGGGTCTCGGGGGTAGGGATGGGGTCTGGGGGCAGGGACGGGGTCTGGGGGCAGGGACGGGGTTTGGGAGTAGGGATGGCGTCGGGGGGCAGGGATGGGGTCGGGGGCAGGGATGGGGTCTGGGGGCAGGGATGGCGTCGGGGGGCAGGGATGGGGTCGGGGGGCAGGGATGGCGTCGGGGGCAGGGATGGGGTCGGGGGCAGGGATGGGGTCTGGGATGGGGTCTCGGGGGCAGGGATGGGGTCGGGGGCAGGGATGGGGTCTGGGATGGGGTCTCGGGGGCAGGGATGGGGTCGGGGCAGGGATGGGGTCGGGGGCAGGGATGGGGTCGGGGGCAGGGATGGGGTCTGGGGGCAGGGATGGGGTCTGGGATGGGGTCTCGGGGGCAGGGATGGGGTCGGGGGCAGGGATGGGGTCGGGGGCAGGGATGGGGTCCGGGGGCAGGGATGGGGTCTGGGATGGGGTCTCGGGGGCAGGGATGGGGTCGGGGGCAGGGATGGGGTCTGGGGGCAGGGATGGGGTCTGGGATGGGGTCTCGGGGGCAGGGATAGGGTCGGGGGCAGGGATGGGGTCTGGGATGGGGTCTCGGGGGCAGGGATGGGGTCTCGGGGGCAGGGATGGGGTCGGGGGCAGGGATGGGGTCTGGGATGGGGTCTCGGGGGCAGGGATGGGGTCGGGGGCAGGGATGGGGTCTGGGATGGGGTCTCGGGGGCAGGGATGGGGTCGGGGCAGGGATGGGGTCGGGGGCAGGGATGGGGTCGGGGGCAGGGATGGGGTCTGGGGGCAGGGATGGGGTCTGGGATGGGGTCTCAGGGGCAGGGATGGGGTCGGGGCAGGGATGGGGTCGGGGGCAGGGATGGGGTCCGGGGGCAGGGATGGGGTCTGGGATGGGGTCTCGGGGGCAGGGATGGGGTCGGGGGCAGGGATGGGGTCTGGGGGCAGGGATGGGGTCTGGGATGGGGTCTCGGGGGCAGGGATAGGGTCGGGGGCAGGGATGGGGTCTGGGATGGGGTCTCGGGGGCAGGGATGGGGTCTCGGGGGCAGGGATGGGGTCGGGGGCAGGGATGGGGTCTGGGATGGGGTCTCGGGGGCAGGGGCGGTGTCTGGGGGCAGGGATGTGGCCCCGGGGGCTCCCGGGGGTGGCCCCAGCCCACGGTCCCGTCCTGCCCCGCAGAGAGGGGCCATGGAGGGCGAGCCGCTGCAGGCGTTCTACCGGCAGCTGGTGCTGATGCCCAAGGTGCTGCACTACGGCCAGTTCGTGCTCCTGGCGCTGGGCGGCCTCCTGCTGCTGGTCCCCATCGTCTACCAGATCCGCACCCAGGTGAGTGCCGGGCGGGGCACCCGCCGCCCTGCCTGCCGCCCACGGCCCTGTGCCCACCGGGGCCGGTCTGCCGGGACGGGGCCAGCGCTGGCGCTGCACCTGCTGTCCTGCCGCCGCTTCCTGCCGCCCGGAGGCCTGGGCCAGGCCCGTCCCCACGCCCTCCTGCGGGCGGGGCAGCGGCAGACACTGTCCCTGCTCCCGCGGGGCTGCCACTGCCGGGAGGCGGGGCCAGGCAGAAAGTCCTGGTGGGAAAGGCGACGGCGGTCGGAGGGGCTAGAGCAGGGCCGCCCAGGAGGGACACGACTGGGCCACGTGCGCGATTTTAGTTTATTTTTAGTTTTTAATGTTTTTATTGATTTCAGAGACGAAGGGAGAGAGGGAGAGAGAGAGAGGCATCGAGGATGAGAATCATGGACCGGCTGCCTCCTGCACGCCCCCCACTGGGGATCGAACCCACAACCCGGGCCTGTGCCCCGCCCCGGAGTGGAACTGTGGCCTCCTGGTTCACAGGCTGACGCTCCGCACGGAGCCCCCGGCCGGGCTGTGGGAGGCTTTTAGGGGGGCAGGGCCGGGCGCCCCAGTGCGGCCGGAGGGCCTCAGCGGGAGGGCCAGACGCCGGGACCCTGGGCGAGGTGGCGCTGGGACTGGGGATGCGCCCCCAACCGAGGTACATGCCCTTGACAGGAATCGAACCCGGGACCCTTCAGTCTATAGGCCGATGCTCTATCCACCGAGCCACACTGGTTTCGGCAGGATTTGCCTTTTATTTTTATTTTTTAATTTTTATTCAATTTTTATCTTTATTTAAATTATTATCTGTGTACATATCTTACCATTGAGGATTTGCTTTTTTTTAAAAAAAATGATTTTGTTGATTTTCAAGAGAGGGGAAGGGAGAGGGAGAGAGAAAAACAGGGATCTGCACACCCCCTACCGGTGCGAAACCGGCAAGTCCGGCCTGTGCCCTGACCCGGAACCGAACCGGCGCCTCCTGGTGCCGGGATGGACGCTCGACCGCTGCGCCAGGCCAGCCGGACACATCGGGAGTCTCTCGGCAGGAAAATCCCCGTTTCTGGCCAATTCCCGGCCGGTCCCTCCACCCCGATTCCTAGATTCTCACGGGAACACGCCGACGCCCGACACACCGGGCGCGTCTCCCAGCCTCGGCCGCCCCCTCGCTCGGTGCAGGAGTCTGGGACCCCGCGTCCCACCCCCCCACCCCCCCTCCCGGCCTCCGGAACCTTCCAGACCCGCGCCTCCCGCCCGTAACCGCGCCGTGTCTTCCAGGAGCGGTGCCACTTGTTCTGGAGCCGCGATAAGAAGGGCTCGCAGGACAAGGAGGCCATGCAGGCCTACTCCGAGTCCCTGATGACCACGGCCCCCAAGGGCACGGTGCTGCAGGAGGCCAGGCTGTAGGTGGGTACCAGGCCCCCGCCGCCGCCGCGGGGAGCGGAACCCGCACCGGCCGGCTGCGGCGCTCCTCGGCCTGAGCTCCCCTGGAGGCCGAGGCCCGGAGCCCCCGCTGTCTGTTCTGCTCTGGGGCTCCCAGCCAATGGCAGCGTCCCCGCCTCCGCCCGCCCGCCCGCCATCCCCCCGGGCGCCCGTGTTCGTGGGCTGGCGTCCTACCTACCAGGCTGCGAGGGCGAAGGTGTGGGACAGCGGCGGCCTCGCCCTGGCCGGTGTGCTCCATGCACCTTAGGGTCGCAGGTTCAATCCCCGGTCAAGGGCATGCACCTGGGTTGCAGGAGGCAGCCAGTCGATGTGTCTCTCTCACATCGATGTTTCTCACGTCCCCTCTCCCCTCCTTTCCACTCTCTCTCTTAAAACAACAAAAAAATGGCCCCGGTGGGACGGCTCAGTGGGTGGGCGTCAACCTATGAACCAGGAGGTCACGGTTTGATCCCCGCTTGGCGTGCAGGAGGCAGCTGACCCAGGATTCTCTCTCGTCACTGATGTTTCTGTCTCTCTTCCTCTCCCTCTCTCTTCCTCTCTGAAGTCAGTAGGAAAATAGATATCTTTTAAATGTTTTAAAAAATCATTGGGAGCCCTAAGCGGTGTGGCTCAGCGGATAGAGCATCCGCCTGAGGACGGAAGGGTCCCGGGTTCGATTCGGGTCAAGGGCAAGCGCCTTGGTTGCGGGCACATCCCCAGTGGGGGGCGTGCAGGAGGCAGCTGATGGATGTTTCTGACTCTCCCTCTCCCTTCCTCTCTGGGAAGTCAGTGAGGTGTGCTTTTTGATCGGTGGAGAATGTCCTCGGCGGAGGGTGAAGGCCTCTGGTGCAGGGGCCTCTCCCGGGACGGCAGCGCGCCCGCCCGCTCGGACCCGGGCCGGGGTCTGTGTGTCCCGGGCCCTGGAGGTCCTGACCCAGCTCCACCTGAAGGGGGGAGGGGGCCGGCCAGGAGAACAGAACTGGGCGCCCGTGAGCGCCAGCTGAGTGGCCAGCCCGCGGCCTGAGGGTGGCGCTCCTGGGTTGGGGGGAAACAGTGAAATCAGCCGACACGAGGAAGGGCAGCGAAAGGCTGCCCGCTCGCCTCCGGCCCCGGGCAGTGGGGGCTCCGGGAAACCCGCCCGCAGCCCCGGGCAGGGAGCTGGGGCACCGTGCCTTCCCGGGCATGGGGAGCCCCTCCTGGGCCGGGGCCGGGTTTGTGTTGAGAGTTATCTGTGGATCCGAGAGCGATCGGTGTTGGGTCCGCGTGTGGCTGGCTCTCGGGGGGGGGGGGGGGGGGCGCACGTGCCCTGAGGGCGGAGCCTCTCCCGCCCGGCAGGGCTGTCACTGTCCGGGCGAGGAGCGGCCCCAGCCTCTGGCCGGGCCGGGAGCCGCCGGAGCCGCGGGCCGGGAGGCACAGCCGCGGGGGCCTGCTGCCCCTGCTGTGGCTGCCGCGGGAGGAGGACATAAAGGAGAAAACAAAACGGGAAGTGGGAGCCGGTGTTTGTGCGGCAGGGGCTGGGCCCTGCGGGAGGCGGAGGAGGAAGGGGAGGAGGAGGAGGAGGAAGAGGAGGAGGAGGAGGAGGAGGAAGGGGAGGAGGAGGAAGGGGAGGAAGGGGAGGAGGAAGGGGAGGAGGAGGAGGAAGAGGAGGAGGAGGAGGAGGAAGGGGAGGAAGGGGAGGAGGAAGGGGAAGAGGAGGAGGAGGAGCAGGAGGAGGAGGAAGGGGAGGAGGAGGAGGAGGAAGGGGAGGAAGGGGAGGAGGAGGAGGAAGGGGAGGAGGAGGAGGAAGAGGAGGAGGAAGAGGAGGAGGAAGGGGAGGAAGGGGAGGAGGAAGGGGAAGAGGAGGAGGAGGAGCAGGAGGAGGAGGAAGGGGAAGAGGAGGAGGAAGGGGAGGAGGAGGAGGAAGAGGAGGAGGAGGAAGGGAAGGAGGAGGAAGGGGAGGAGGAGGAGGAAGGGGAGGAGGAGGAGGAAGAGGAGGAGGAGGAGCAGGAGGAGGAGGAAGGGGAGGAGGAGGAAGGGGAGGAGGAGGAGGAGGAAGGGGAGGAGGAAGGGGAGGAGGAGGAGGAAGGGGAAGAGGAGGAGGAGGAGGAAGGGGAGGAGGAGGAAGGGGAGGAGGAGGAGGAAGGGGAGGAGGAAGGGGAAGAGGAGGAGAAAGGGGAGGAGGAGGAGGAAGGGGAAGAGGAGGAGGAAGAGGAGGAGGAGGAGCAGGAGGAGGAAGGGAAGAGGGAGGGGAAGGGGCTGAGAGCCGTGTCCCCCGGCAGGCCCCGGGGAGTGCCCTGGCCCCGGTGTGGGTGGCTGAGGAGAAGGCCTCCAGCCTGAAGGGTGTGCTCTTCTGTCTTTATTGGTGCCAGAGAGGAAGGTGGAGGGAGGGAGAATCACCCACAGGAGAGAGAATCGCGGACTGGCTGCCTGCCCGCCCGCCCGCCCGGGGAGGGAGCCCGCAGCCGGCCTGCGCCTGGCGGGTGGATCCGGACCTCCTGGCTCACAGGCCGGCTCGGCCCGGAGCCACGCGGCACCAGTGTCCCTGAGCCGCCGAAGCTGGTGAACAGGGTGCCGGCCTCGCCTGGTCCGGGTGCGGAGTGGGTGTCGCCTGCCGTGGCTTGCCTCCCGTTCCCGGCGCCGGCACTGGCTGCTGGCCGTTTGGCCGCGTTAACAGTGTTGCACACGCCCCTGGCTCCGCCCTCGCTGGGCACCGGGCAGTTCCCCGCGGGGCCTCGGTTTCCCCACTCTGAGGGCAGGGAAGACGGTGCTGCTGCTGGGGAGGGAGGGGGTGTGTGTGGGGGGGCCTGTGACCCAGCTCCCCTTTCTCCACAGGGTCCCCGAGACACGGAGAGCCAGCCCAGCCCCGGGGACACGGAGAGCCAGCCCAGCCCCGCGTCCCCGCTCCTCCGGGGGCCCCTGGGCGGACAGCCGGCCGGCCCCGGCGCCTAGCTGCACACGCGTGACCAAGCCCTGCACCCGCCTGACGTACACCTAACGCCCGTGTGCACAGCGTGTCACACACACTCAGGGACGGGACGCCGCCGAGGGGACGCCCAGAGCAGCTCACCAGCAGAACCTTCTGTTCTGGAACCTTCTCTCCAAGGCAGCCGTGGGCGGGTGGGCGGGTCCCTCAGCCTCGGGCCACTGGGCCCCCGAGCCCCGCCCACAGGCCCGCCTGGCGGCTGACCGGCAGCCGGGCCTCCTGGCATACGCTGGTGCCAAAGCCGGTGGAGGGGCCTCAGAGCACCCCCGCCCCGCGGGGCCCGGCCCCTGGGGGGCGAGGGAGCCCCTCCCCAGTGAAGCGAGTGGAGCTGCGGCCCTGAGCCGGCCCCGGGGGTGGGCCCACCTTGGTGCCGGGCAGAGGTGGGGGCCGGGGCCGGCCTGCCGGAGGCCTGTCCACTCGGCTTCCCGCCCCGGAGCCTCTGTCCCTTTTCTACGGGAAGAAAAATGAGTTTTATCGTCTTTTTAAAAGAACCCACCGATGAAGTAATAAACCTTTTAAAACATGAGCAGCGTCTGAGCGGCCTGTGTGCTGGGGGGGGTGGGGGTGGGGGTGCGTGGGGTCCGGGCAGCTCTCTGCGCCTCTGGGCCTTTCCGGAAGGGTCTCGGTGGGCGCATGCCTGCCCTGCGTCGGTTTACACTTCCACACGGCGCGTGCTTCACATTCCAGGTGCACCTTCGTTTATGTTAAGACGTGGTGACTGCTTTCAGCGAGGAAGCGAGAAATTTGGCTGATTTCCCAGCTCCTGGGAGTGCTGGCCCGCGCGGCTCATTTCCACGCAGAGATTCCCTAAGGCCCGTGGGTTTCTCCCCTCGCAGCGCGGGCTCCGGCAGCCGGGTTGCCTCCCCGTAAACCGGGGCCACGCAGGGCCCTTCACGTCCTTCAAAATCAGGTCCTGCTGCAGTTCCCGGCGCGGCCACGCGGGGGCGGGCTGTCCCCGCAGTTGCTCAGAGACCGGCCTCTCGGAGGCGCTGCAGGGACCCCCTTCCATCCGGGCGCCCTAACCGGGAGGCGTTTTCCGGGGAACCTTCCGGTCTCCAAGGGGCCGCCGCGCCCTCCCGGGACCCTGTGGGCAAGAACGCCTCCCGCCAAGCGGAAGCCGGGCCACGTGTGTGCTTGGCTGTGGCTGAGCGTGGACGGGACCGTGGGGCAGAGGGTGCAGGGACACAGGGCGAGCCTGCCCTGAGGGCCCGGACTGTGACAGGAGTCTCAGTGCTGGGCCCCCGCAAGCACTGAGACGCCTACTGCGTGCAGAGCGCGCGCTGGGTGCAGAGGAGCGGAGCTGAGAGGCCCTGGAGGTGCATCATTCGTTCACGCACTCACTCACTCACTCACCCGTCCACAGACGTGTCCGGGCGCGCACCCCGGGCCAGGCCCTGGGTGTGTAGGCCGGGCTGTGTTTGGGGGGGCGGGTCCCCCGTTGCAGACCGGAGACAATGATTCGGGCCGAGGGCTGTCCCAGGAGGAGCGGCAGGAGCTGGGTTTTGGATTGGGGTGAGAGCACGCAGAATCGGGGGTCCCCAGGAAGGAGCCCCGTTTGGACCTGCCAGCGCCCCGGGGTCCCGCCTGTGGGGACAAAGGGGGCCTCCCTGCCCACCTGCAGAGAGCTCGGGGGACAGGGAGGGGATACGAGCGGGTGACGTGAGGAGAGGTGTTGGGGGGCTGTTTCTGGAAGGGTCCCCCGGCCCGCAGGATGGGAAGGAACCCGGAACAGAGTGGCTTAGGGACGGACCTGCCTGTGCAAAGGCCCTGGGGCAGCGGCCGGCCGGAAGTGGGGGCGGCCGGGGTGCAGGGAGCGGGGAGAGCCGCGGGGGGGCGCCGGAGAGCCGGGCCAGGCGGTCCGCAGGGCCCTGTGATCGGGGGTTTTAACCTCAATGTGGACCCGCTGGCGGGGTTCGGGGGGCCGGGCGCTCCCGGTGGGTGCGCGAGGGTCCGGCCAAGAGGCTCCTGCCCCCTCTGGCCCGGGGACCCCGGACCCCGATGGGCCCCCCCCCCCGCAGGAGGAGGAGGCCGCGTCCCAGGTGAGGACACTGAGGCTGGCCTCCGGCTCCCTCCCGGTTCCCCCCGGTTCCTCCGGGCGGCGCTGCCTCGCCCCGGCCTCCAGGCCCCGGCACCGCCCCCCGCATCGGGGTCCGACTGGCCTCCGCTGTCCCCACGGCGGCCGGCGCCTCTGCGGGACCCTGCGCCCCAGCCCGGCCCAGGCCCGGCCCCTCCGGGGATGCCAGAGAGTCTGTTCAATAAATGAGGGGGAGCGGCGGGGTTTTGGGGGGACTTTGCAGAGCCGCCTGGGTGTGGCTGTCCCTCCCCCTCCCCCTTTCCCTCCCCCCTTCCCTCTCCCTCCCTCTCCTTTCCTTCCCTCCCCTTCTCTTCTTCCCCTCCCTCCCTTCCCCTCCCCCTTCTCCTCCTCCTTCCCCTCCTCCTTTCCCCTCCCCTCCCCCTCCTCCCTCCTTCCCCCTTTTCCATCCCCCCCTTTCCCTCCCCCCTTCTCCCCATCCCCCTCTTGTTTCAGGCCCAGACCTGCCCAGGCCCTCCGAGGCCGGCAGTGCAGGCGCGGCCACCAGGGGGCGCTGTTGGCCGCCGGATCCAGGGTGGGTGTCCAAAGGCCGGTGGCACCCAGAGCCCCAGCGGGCGGCCGCGGGCTGTGGGGCAGGAGCAGTGAACAGCGAGGAGTGGGTGGACGGGCCTCGCGTTTCACAGTTTTCACGCACAAAATGCCCACAGCCCGCCAGCGGCTCAGGGGTTGGAGCGTCGGCCAGCGGACCCGAGGGCTGTGGGTTCGATTCTGTCAAGGCCACGGACCTCGGTTGCAGGCCTGGTCCCCATCGCTGTGTCTCTCTCTCAGGGATGTTTCTCTCCCTCCCTCTCCCTTCCTCTCGCTCTAAAAATGAGCAGAAGCCCTGGCGGGTGTGGCTCAGTGGGTAGAGCGTCGGCCTGCAGACTGCAGAGTCCCGGGTTCCCTTCCGGTCAGGGCCCAGGCAGGGCTGCAGAGTCAGCCCCCAGGTGGGTAGTGTGCAGGAGGCGGTCGGTCCATAACCTTCTCTCATCATGGACGTTCCTACTGGGCATCGAGCCAAAACCCAGGCATGTGCCCTGACCGGGATTTGAACCGGTGACCTCGTGGTTCCGTGCTCAGCCACTGAGCCACACCAGCCAGGGCCCAGTAGCGGGCGGGGGGCGTCTTGGCAGCTGCGAGAGAGAAAACAGACTGTGCTTCCCTCCGCTGCCACCCTGGGTGGAGGCGGGGTGAGCGGAACCCAGTTCCCCACTCACAATGAGCTCTGCTGGGGCGAGGCGAGGTCAGGGCCGGCCGGGCGGGCGGGCGGGCGGGCGGCCCTGGCTGGGTAGCAGGCTGGGCTCTGGCTGCCCGGGCTTCCTCCTGCCAGCCCCGCCCCCCAACACTCCCCCTACCTACCCCCACCCCAGCTCACAGAGCCCGGCGGCCTGGCCCCAAACCCGGTTTGCTCTCCGAGGAACCGTGATGGTCTCACGGCCCAAGACCTTCCTTAGGAACCGAGACCCTCCTAGCACTCCAGACCGGAAGAGCGGTTTCTGTGTTCATTCATTCACTCATTCATTCATTCCTTCCTTCCTCCCTTCCCTGCCTCTCCGTCTCCTCCTATCTCGTTAGTGAGCTGGGAGTGTCTGAGCAGCCAGGCAGCCCGGCTTCCCCTGAGACTCACTCGTCTCTGTACTCTGCGCGAAGCACCTACTATGCGCGGGCGCTGAGATGTGTTCTGGGACCAGCCCTTTGTGGCGCGCCCACTATGTGCGGGCGCTAGAGATGCTTTCGTCCACTTACCAGGCGTGTGTGGTAACGGGCGTAACCACACGTGCGTACATACGTTTACCCAGAATTTGTGGGGCTCCTACTGTGCGCTAAATGCAAGGCCTGAGGCATTATTTTGCATCTAACGAGTAACATGTGACGTTAACTGTTTTTTTAAAGTATATTTTTTATTATTGATTTCAGAGAGGAAGAGAGAGAGAGAAAGAGAGAGAGAGAGAGAGAGAGAAATATTAACGATGAGAGAGAAGAGAGAATCATTGATCCGCTGCCTCCTGCCCGCTCCCTACTGGGGATCGAGCCAAAACCCAGGCATGTGCCCTTGACCGGGATTTGAACCGGTGACCTCGTGGTTCAGTGCTCAGCCACTGAGCCACACCAGCCAGGGCTCAGTAGCTGCTTCTGATGCCGCCACCTCTCCCAGATCAGGTTGTGGAATCAAACCCTTCTCTCAGCACCTGCCCCTCAGCTGGGCCCAGGCCTCAGTCCCACTCCTGGAGGAGTACATGACCCAACCTGGCCAATCAGACCCGCTCCTGACCACCTCATGGGGCAGAGGGGAGTCATGGGAGGCAGGCAGGGTTCCAGGAGACTCCGAGCTGGAACCCGCAGCCGGAGGAGCCCTCCGGTGGGGGTGGTGAGCGGATGGGGTGTAGGCCCCCCTGGCCCCAGGTTACCTGGCTGAGAGGAGACCAGCCCGGAAGGGAAGGAACAGAATGCGTTTGGCGGGGGCCGTTCCGAGCGCCTGGAGCCAGCTGTGCCTGAAGCTGGCCCCGCGCCCTGCCGGCTGCTTCCACAGAGCGGGCAGGAGAGAGCGAGGCCTGCGTGCAGGCACCTTTAAGGGTAGCGGGCGGGGCTTAGGGCGCTCAGCACACGCTGATTGGTGATTAGGGACCGGGGGACTTAGGAATGGGGGCTGAGGGCATTTGGCAGGGGCTGTCGGTGGGTTCAGAGCTCAGGAATGTCCGGCCGCAGGTGGGGTTTACGTCCGTCCATCAAGTGGAGGAAGGGAGGGTCTATCAGTCAAGTGTGCTTTTATTGATGTTTAGAGAGAGGGGAAGTGGAGGGAGAGAGAGAAACGTCCATGAGGAGAGAGAGTCACGGACCGGCTGCCTCCTGCTAGCCCCCCACTGGGGATGGAGCCCGCAGCCCGGGCCTGTGCCC